TTTTACTCCAATCCTCCCTATATATAATTCCAGAATGCGCTGAGCCTACGTGGCTGCTTCTGGTGCTTCGGAATCCTATTTAGCGAAGAATCATGCTTCGTAATTAGGTTTGGATAAATAATATTGATATATTAAGAGCATCTCCAAGAGCCTCCCTATTTCTCTTTTTTTCTAAAAAATAGGGATTTTCTCTCAAAAACTGTCTCAAACAGTTCCCCTAAACTTGGTCCTATTTTTAGGGTGACCTCAAATAGAGGCTTCTCTTCCTCATTTATGGGGAGGGAAAAACGATCCCCCATTTCAAATAATAATAATAATAATAATTTAAAAAGAAATAATATTATATTAATACATGAAAAAATATAACAAATAATTAATAATAAATTACTAATAATAATAATTTAAATTCAAATAATTAAAAAAATAAAAATTGTTCAAAAAAATAATTTATTTGATTAAAAATTAATAAATTACAATTAGCATAATAATAATAATAATCTAAAAAGAAATAATATTATATTAATAAAGGAAAAATTATAAAAAATAATTATTAATAAATTACTCATTATAATAATTAAAAAAATTAGTGAATATTATAAAATTAGTTAATTACTATTATAATCGTTAACAATTACAATATCAAGTGGGCTTCAAGTGGGCTTTTAGATAGATTTGTGGGCCTGGTTCATATTCAAATTATAAAATAGGGAGACTCTTGGAGAACAACATAAAATAGGAAACAAATGGATATAGGATGACTCCTTATTTCTCCAAATAAGAAGTCTAAAATAAGAAGTCTCTTGGTGATGCTCTTAATGAGGTAAAATAAAAAACCAAACAGAATTGTGCATCTAAATGTGGTGTGGTTTTCAATTTGTGCTGAAATATCACTTGTGAGTCGTCTCACGTTGATGAAGTGTGGTTTGATATAGGTGGGGGGCAAGGCAATAATTAATAATAAATAAAAATACAAAACTAAAATTAAATCATGCATGTGACGTGGACAAGAAGATAAACCAATAAGGTTGGAGCTTCAATTATAGTTAGCATAGCAAATAGTCTTGGCACCAATTATAAACACTATCATCTAATTTATCAGAATATACACCACCTAATATATATCCTCCCTATATATTATTTTCGAATGCGCTGAGCCTACGTGGCTGTTTCTTGTGCTTCGGAATCCTACTTGGCGAAGAATCATGCTTCGTAATTAGGTTTGAACAAATAATATTAATAATTAATAATATAGGTTCAAACATTCCATAAATATTATTTAGCTAACTTAGGTATTTTAATATCACTTTTACTAATATAATCAATCATTTAATTCTTTATAATTTTACATAGTGAGACACTAAGTAACTAATATATCCATGACTTTTGATTTGTTTTCTTCAATTAGCTATTGAATTGTAAATGTATTTTAAAATATGATAATTTTTGTATTTCTTATCGATTTTACATATATAATATATCAAATTAATCATCTTTTGATGATCTTCGATTTGACATCCATATTGTATATATGAAATAAATAAATCATATTAATCATTGTAATAATAAAAAATAATAATATTTATTAAAATTCATTTGAAAAATAAAAATTATTTCTCAATTGATATATTTATGTTTAATGTAGTTATATGTTGTAAGTCAAAAAAATATTATAATATAACACAGATAAGTCGCACAAATAAAAAAGTGTCATATTAAATATATAATAATATATATATATTTTTATAAAAGGTATTGAAAATTTCAATTACTTTTTCTCATTAATTTTAGATTTTAAGAAAAAATTAGCAAGCACCTGTGTAATACACGGGCGTTGTACTAGTGTATATATATATATATATATATATATATATATATATATTTAGTGATATGGATTATTGGTGCTGAACTTCCAAAATTTGGATATTTTGCAGCACAATTGCAATTTATACATGATAAGGGTAAGATCCCAAATCCACAAGAATCAGACTTCTCCTTCATTAATTGGTTTAATTAATGTATATGTATATATATATATATAACTGGTGTCAAGACACGGGAGACAACAATATATAACTGGCCATGACTGAACACTAGTTTCTTAAGAAATAAACCAACATTAGATAAGGATTGTCCCTGACTCTTGTTTATAGTCATGGCGTAAGAAACCATAATGGAAAATTGGTGCCGCTGGAACTTGAAAAGAATTCTAACATCAGAAGGAGTTATGGTCATTCTTGGAATCAACATCGTATCACCAGCATTATCTCATGTGAGTATTTTACACTCAAGAACATGAGTGGATAATTTTGTGACAACCAATCGTGTCCCATTACACAAACTCATAGAATGATCCATGTTCCGCAACAACATGACTGGAGTTCCAATCTTCAAATGCAACTCATGGTTCGGTATTCCGAAACACGTGATACTATTAAAAAACTCAGGCGTATGGAGATCAGACAAAAATCATTATTAGAATCCGATTTGCACGTACTATCAGAGCTCAAGTACATACGACCACAAATTCAATGATGTCATGTACTCATTGATAGACTCGACCACATCCAACTTCGGCGCTAATATAGCCCTATCCTTCAAATAACTTGGATCGTCAGGCGCCTCATTATACATTGGATATGTGCTTTCAGCGATTTGAGCAATAGGATCATCAAATGGCTGGAGCAAAATATTTTCGGGTATGTCTTCAATTGAACTAGATTTATCTCGGCCACCATCCTAATGACATCTAAACATGTGTTAAATATGAGTAAAATTATTATTTATCATGAAAATGCTAAAAAAATAATTTAAATAAGTGAAAATGCAATTACCAAATAGCATTGATTCGTCGATCTTCTCGACATCAGTTAGTGTGATGAACCTTCGAAAGTCGAACGGTAAATTGGAAAGTCACCGTTGTAGCTTATGTGTTCAGTTCTACCTTGTAAGATAAGCATGTATTGTGCAATGGTGGATCTGTACATTCCAATGTTACTCCCGACCTGATAGTTTCGAAATGCATAGACAACCCCTTCTTGGAATTCATTGATGAAAGTTGAAATGTTTACAGCTCTTATTATTCCTGTAATTCGACCGCCCTGCAAAAAAAAAAGATAATATTAGAAATTATTGTGTAATATGAGAAGAAAGAATTAATCATTAATTTAATTGTGAATTATACCTCAATGTCATGAAAGACAATTTCAAGGATGTTCTTGTAGGATGAATATTCATTAGTCATTTGAAAAACCCGAAACACTCTTAACTTGAGCATTGGCATGTTGGTCCTTGTTACTTGCTTGATGTTTCCCCATGCTTTTGCCATTTTTCTGCTTGTCTGATTGTACGTCCAAATGGGAGTGATTTTTTTGTGATACGTGCTGGACGTTCGGGTGTTCATTTTAAAGGCATGAGATAATATTTGATAACCATTGAAATATGAGTTTTAATAAATTCAAACTCTGGTGGGATGATAAAATAAGTGCAAATTAGTTGGATAATAAATTAATTTCTCTATAAATAAGTTTAAATATCTCTTCATAACAGATTTCGGTTCCCATAATTTATCTATAATTAAGTTTTTTTATTTAATTTAACTAATTTTAGTCAACACGTGCTTTTAAATGTTGTTTGATAATAATTGATAACCATTAAAATAGGAGTTTGAATAATATGATGAGAAGATAAGTCCTAATCAGTTGGATGGTTAAGCACTGTTGATGTTTTTCGTGTACGAAGAATTGCAGTGTTAACATATTAATATATTAATTATTAATTTATTTATTGATCAAAGTTGTATAATAATGTATTTTTTAAGTGACATGGAATTTAAGTTTTATTTTATAAGGTTTTTATGTTTGTTAGGTTCGACTAAAACATGTATTTGTATTGTAGTATTTTAATTGTTATTCATGTAATTGTGTTGTAGTATTTAAATTGTTATCTATCCGATGGCTTATTAATTTATTTATTGATCAAGTTGTATAATAATGAATTTTTTTTAGTGGAATGAAATTTATGTTTTATGTTATTAGGTTTTTATGTTTGTATAGATCCTATTAAAACATGTATTGTATTGTAGTATTTAAATTGTTATTTATCCAATGGCATTATATAGGAAACCAAATTAATTGAATGGAATTGTATAATGATCACGTGATTACCTTTAATAAAATTAAATCAAAATAAGAGATTAATTAAAAAATAATGACCATAGTATCAAAATAAGAGATTAATTAAAAATAATGACGGTAGTTATCTCTTTTAGGTGAGTTATTCACACATTCCTATAATCTCTCTACAACATAAATTTTCGAATTCAAAATGTGATATTAAATTGGTGTCTTTTTATCTCTCTACGCCAAAAATTTTGAATTCAAAATGTGATATTAAATTGAGATTTTTTTATTTTCTTTTTTATTTTTTTTATAATTAGAATGTCAAAAGTATTATTTTTTTGGTCAAAATTTTTAACTAACAACCTTTTTATATATATAGATAGATACCTATTAACGAAAAAAAACCATGTTTTATCGAATCGTACGCTCGGCGTATCCCTCATCTCGCGAATCGACGAACAAAGTAAAAAGGGCTCCTTGTAATTTATCGCCGATAGTTCAATTTTTTACGCGTGAAGCTGATAGATTTAAGGTGTTTTTTCATGTGTTTTTTTGATGGCAGGGTGCTTTCTCGGGCATTTATGGACTCCGGTCTGCTGTTCCGTCGGAGTTTTCGTCGGGTAATGCAGTCATTTCTTTCGAACACGGCGGACTAGGGTTGGTGAGGAGCTATTTGACGTCGATTCGAGGTGGTAAACAAGTCTCGAGGAGTAATTTGTTCCAGGAATTCAAGTCGGTGTTTGGAAACCCTAGCCTGCGGAGGACGTTCTGCAGTGAAGCGCCTAAGAAGAAGAGTAAGGCGGATTGTGCGCCTGATTTTAATTTTCAATTTTTTGCATTTTGGCTTCTTGTTGTGGTCGTTTTGATAGTGTTGTTTGTTATGGAAGTTTGATTATGTTTTTGTTTTCTGTGATGGGTTGGTTGTAGAATACGAAAACTACTATCCGAAGAACAAGTCTGAAATTCCAAAAGAAAACAATCAGAAGTCCAGGGCCGATGGGGCCAAAGGTAATTGACCTTGGCGGCCTTCGTGCTGAAAAATTCATTATTTCTTGGCGAATTTATTGATATATGCTCTAGTGTCGTGTAGAATGTTGCAATGTTGTTTAACTTAGCTGAGCCAAAGTGCCTTTTGATGTGGGTGCACGATTAATTTCAGTATTGTTATCATTTCTGAGTGCAGAGGACTCAGGAGCAGGTGAACAATGGAACAGTTCGGAAATGTCGGAGTATTTTCAAAACTACCTTCTTCCCCCATTGTGGCTTGCTTTTGTGTTTACATTGGGTGGTCCTAATGACCAGAAGCAGGTTAATGCCTCTTGTCTTTGTACCACTTTAACATATATTAAACCTTGAGCCAGTTTTTGTACCATTGCTTTTATTGTTTTCTTCTTTCACTTTTCCATATTTCTTCTTCTTTTTTTCTTTTTATTTTTGTCAAGGATCAAAGTCCAGTACTAGCTTACATTTGGTAGCTGTCCATTCACATTATAGATGGGTGCAACAGTACATGCACTCCATTTTTTTAAATAAAAATGAGAAATTTGGTATTGGGAAAAGGAAAATATTCTCCATACCATCTCCTATGCGAACAACATGGATAATCAGAAATTGATGCAAATGGTCTGGATATGATTTTATTATGTATCCATTACTAGTTTAGTATTATTATTGTTATCTTTACTTGTGGTGGTTATGTTTATTATTGAAATTTTTGATTATATATTTATTGTAATTCGGATAAGTTTTCAAGAATTCAAGAACAAATTACTTGAACCTGGCCTGGTGGATCACGTAGTTGTTTCGAACAAGTCAGTCGCAAAGGTATACATAAGGAATTCACAGCCTAATGGCAACTCAACCAAAGTCGACTCTGTTCAGGGTCCAGTTGGTCAAACGAATGATAAAGAACCTGTTGTAGATCAAGGTGCTCTTGAGGAAATGGCTGATGAAATCGATGGTTTCGAAGAAATTAGGGTTCAGGCGAGGGGTCAGTTGGAAAATGAAGAGAAGAATATGGATTTGGATGTTAAATCGGCTGAAGATAAGGGCGAGACACGTGGCCTTTATGGAGACGTAGGATCAGTTTTTTAATTGTGGCCTGTGTGCCGTTCATTTAGCATCTTTTATTTTTATGTTTAATTTCCTTGGGCATGAAAGTGGTTATTTGTGGGGCCCTTTTTCATTGTATTTTAACGCGTGAAATTTGGAAATGAAAACAAGAAGAAAGTTATTATCTCTCTCTCTCTCTAAGCTTTCTTCTTCCCCAATTCACTATATTTTATGTGAGATGAATTGGTTCCAAGAACTCGTGAAGTTTGGTCCTACATTGTTGATTTTAGGAACTATCCTATACATAGGAAGGAGAAGCGGAATTGGTATTGGTGGTCCTGGTATGAAGGGCGGTCGTGGAATCTTCAATATTGGAAAAGCTCATGTCACTAAGATGGATAAAAACTCCAAGAATAAGGTCAGCATAATTTAGTTGTGCTCAATTTATTTTGATTCGTTGGATAGTCCCCCTTAAGGGAAAAAAGGAATCCCAAAAAATGAAAAGAGTAACTAAAAAATCCTGATAATCCAAAAAAAAAGATTGAAGATATCGCAAGGATAGGTATACAATGGTGTAGTTAGTTTCATCTTTAGGGTTTATTTAGTCTTAAATCAGCTTCATTTTTTAATTTGGTGATCAGGTCTTCTTCAAAGATGTAGCCGGCTGTGATGAGGCAAAACAGGAAATCATGGAGTTTGTGCACTTCCTGCAGAACCCAAAGAAGTACGAGGAGCTAGGTGCAAAAATCCCGAAAGGTGCTCTCCTTGTCGGCCCTCCGGGGACAGGGAAAACCCTTCTCGCTAAAGCTACTGCAGGTGAACCTGGCGTGCCTTTCCTCTCGATATCTGGTTCGGATTTCATGGAGATGTTTGTCGGGGTGGGGCCCTCGAGGGTACGGAGCCTTTTCCAGGAGGCAAGGCAGTGTGCCCCGAGCATAGTTTTCATCGACGAAATAGACGCAATTGGCCGGGCCCGCGGCCGTGGAGCTTTCTCAGGAGGAAATGACGAGCGTGAGAGCACGCTGAATCAGCTGCTCGTTGAGATGGACGGGTTCGGGACGACATCTGGCGTCGTCGTGCTGGCAGGTACTAACCGGCCCGATATTTTGGACAAGGCCTTGTTGAGGCCCGGGAGGTTCGATCGCCAGATCACCATTGACAAGCCCGACATAAAGGGACGAGACCAGATATTCCGAATCTATCTGAACAAGCTGAAGCTCGACCAGGAGCCTTCGTATTACTCGCAGAGGCTTGCGGCCCTGACTCCAGGGTTTGCTGGGGCCGACATTGCTAATGTCTGTAACGAGGCGGCTTTAATTGCTGCTAGGACCGAGAGCTCGATAATCACTATGCAGCACTTCGAGTCGGCTATCGACCGTGTGATTGGGGGTCTTGAGAAGAAGAACAAGGTATTTCGTTTTGTTTGTTGCCTCATTTTCTATGAATATACTGTCTTCTACGTTCTCTAGCCTACCCCAACTTGTTTGGGACTAAAAGGCTTTGTTGTTGTTGTTGTTGTTGTATACTGTCTTCTATGTAAATGTGTTGTTAAACTGCTGTGCTTTTTTTCCCTCTCAAATGCCCCATTATATAGGAACATATATATTCCTGGCGTGCAGTAGTAAAATTTCATCGGGTTTGATAAATAGTGTAATAAATTTTGAGTCTTTGGCTTCCTGTAGGTTATCAGCAAGATGGAGAGGCGGACCGTGGCTTACCACGAATCGGGCCACGCCGTTGTCAGCTGGTTTCTCGAACACGCCGAGCCGTTGCTGAAAGTCGCGATTGTCCCTCGTGGGACTGCAGCTCTCGGTTTTGCTCAGTATGTTCCAAACGAAAACCTTCTCATGACGAAAGAGCAGCTCTTTGACATGACATGCATGACCCTTGGGGGACGAGCATCTGAGCAGGTAAAACTTAGAAATCAATTATATATATATATATATATATTTATTTTACTGAATTTATTATGAAAATACATTTTCTTTTATTCCATTTAGGTCTTGCTGGGGAAAATATCGACAGGGGCCCAAAACGACCTTGAGAAGGTAACTAAAATGACGTACGCCCAGGTGGCGATCTATGGTTTCAGTGAGAAAGTCGGTTTGTTGTCATTTCCTCAAAGGGAAGATGGTATGGAGATGTCAAAACCGTACAGCAGCAAAACGGCTGCCATTATACACAATGAGGTCAGGGAATGGGTCGGCAAAGCATACACTCGAACAGTCCAGTTGTTAGAGGAGCACAAGGACCATGCGACCAAGATTGCCGAGCTGCTGCTCGAGAAAGAAGTCTTGCATCAGGATGACTTGATCCGAGTCCTGGGGGAGCGCCCGATCAAGTCAAGTGAGCCCATGAATTATGATAGGTTCAAGCAAGGGTTTGAGGAGGAAGAAATAAAGGAGGAGAGTGGAGATAGTTTAAACCGTGGAGGATAACAATGTGGGATCGGGCTCGGGCCCGGGCCCTCTGGAGCCCGAGATTGTTCCAGCTTGATCGATTTGTGGGTCGTGTTAAGATTATTTGTAGGATTACATCTCTCTCTCTCTCTCTCTCTCTCTCTCTCTCTCCTTCCCTCTCTCTCTTCCTCTTTTTTTTGTTGATTGTTGAAGCCCTGTTCACTGAAATTGTTCCGTTTTCGTGGTTCGTAGATTGATGATAATGTTAATAACAGAAAGTGATTTCCCTGTTGTTTGTGTAGGCTGTGCCCGAGTTGAACTCTACTTGAAATAAGCTTTCTTTTTGGTTGGAATGTATTAGTGAGTTGGGCTCTCTATGTTTTGGTTTTTGTTAATAATCTCTAACTTGCTGTACTTTACTGGTGATGGTTTTATTGGTTGTGTATTTGGCTGTTGCCAGTTAGTGAGAGAGGCCAACGTTAAATTTAGACTTATTGTCGTCAATTTGTCATATTTACGATCAAACGAAAGAGATAAAACGAGAGTACGAAAGTGAAATATAGACACGACACGATATCATGATTTGTGCACTATGTGAGGCAAATAGGACATGGCCCTGCTGCTGCTGCTGCTCACTCAAACTCTTGGCTAAATTAGTGGTGTGTGCTTTTAATAAGACTTTCGAGTTCCAATATTTGAGCCATTTTGTGTGTCTCTGCAGACACTCACACTTACCACATATATGTCTCCTCTACAAAATTTAAATCATTTGATTGGACTTTTTGTTTTACTTGTTTCGTGGTTGTAAAGCCATCAAAAACCCAATATTTTTTTTT